AGAACCCAGGTCGCGGGATTCAAAGTCCAGAGTGCTAACCACTACACCATGGAACCAATTGCGAGCTCCAGTGACAAATTTGGTTACCAGACGTGTCCTTAAAACCATCTTTACTTACCAAACTCGATTCGTATTACATTTAAATTATAGTGATGGCAAAACGTTCTATCCCTATTTCGTCTAAGAATCAGAACGAGAATATGGAAATATAGTCCCTGCCTCATCTTTTATTTTATTTTATGTTTTTAAAATTTAAATGTAATTATATAAAAAAAAATATAGTAGACGTGAAAAATAGAGACTTTCTAATCCCTGTTTCGAGATGCCCGTCTCATACTGTTGCCACCCCTAATTTGAAGTGATACTTTGTATATCTTATTTCACTGTAGTGCATTATGAACACGAACCTTTTTTTTTTTTAAAGTTCATAACTTGTATAGTACAATTTATAGTCTAAACTATATGTCAAACACGATGAGTATTACTTCAAAATATCTAAACCTCAAGTGCTTGATTAAATTTCATAATCTAGAAGATCACATCGAGATCGAGTGTACAAATATAAATATGTTAGATTATATAGTCATGAACATGTAATCTTACCTTAATTTGAACGAAGATTTAGTACGCTAAATAATGGTTATTATTCTGATGATTAGAGATACACTAACAAAAGAAATATTATCTTCTCAGGTAATCATTATTAAAATCTTCTACCTACTATTTAAAAATGTATAACAAATAATTTTCAGTTATTTAAAGATCAAATCATATGTATGATTGAAAAAGACCTCTTCACCTCCCAACCAGAAAATCCTTAAAAGCAGGTTTTAAAAAAAAATTTGAAAAATGCTGACTTGATTGAAGGGTGTTCATCGAGATACAATTCAATACCTCTGATAATGTTTGATGTAATTTCTGAATTAACTCAATGTACAATTGAAAAAGACCTCGATAAACTCTAATCGACATTTGTAACTAGAAGTGGCTATTATCCATTCATATCATGCCCGCTTACATTAACAATTATCGAGCCATCTAAACCCCATATTCAAGATAAACTGTGATCTCTTTATACGTTTTTGAACATTCTAGATTATGTAGACTGTTGCAAATTAACACGTTGTTTTCCCTTTTTTTTCTCTAACTCTCGTCTTTTCAATGAAAATGATATTGTCATTAACAACTCGAAAATATGTCATCACATGCACCGATGATCGTAAACGTGCACGAATGTTAAGAACAAGCACAAACCCGAATTTGTTTTTTTTTTTTACTTTATTTTCTACTTGCTTTATTCGAAAAATTATAACCAATCTGTCCCAGTCCCAACTACCTGCTCACTAGAAGCCTAAAAAACATCTGGCTCACGCATCTTTTTGGAGCCACAATGAGTGGAAATAGATACGATATCTTATATATGATAAGGAATCATTCCATCTCAAACCTTCTTAATCTTTATATTAGGAACTTTTCCGGTACAAAAAGGTATACATATGGAATCCACTGTATGCCCTTTCTTATTAATTTATATTTTCTTTTTGTCTACAAAGCATGAAATCTTAAGTAACAACTAAATAAATGGCGGTTAATTAACTAAAAATTACCAGATTTAGGTAGTTATACATCTTTTTTCACTTTCTTTTCTTTGTCATTTCATTTTACCATATGACATAAAAACATGAGAAATCTTGTGACACAAGGACAAGAAAATATTTCATTTTCTTGTAGTTACGTTCTCAAGTCTAAAGTTTAGACATAATGTTTTATTGAGTCTTCAATTAAAATGTATACGGATATTTAGTTGTTATAGAAATTGTAGGTTGACGACCCATTTTGTTTTCACGAGACATATAGGATAGCGACCTACTTAGCAAAAAAAAAAATGAATAAAAATCCTTGTGTACGTTTACAATAAGTTGGATATAGCAAGTATTTGTCTCTGAAAATAATGAGGTATGGAGGTGTAGTTATGTAACAAGGGTATATTTCCTTCAAAAATGGCTCCTAAATGCATCACAACATTGAGAAACACCTTAAATTGCAAGGAAAAATTAAATAAATATGATTTTTGGTAAATTTTTTATTAGATGGTGAAGATGGTATCAAAATCAAACAAAATACTTAGGTTTTTACAACTCGCTACTACCAATATATGAAAATTTTACATATGATAGACATTTAAATCCGATATGCAAGTGATGAGACGTGCTGAAGATTGACTTTAAATAAGTAAATACCTATCTGACAATTGAATGCAATGGTTAACAATCTCATGCCAGCATTTCTTTTCGGAAACAAAACTCATCCAAATATGACATAAACCACAAAGACAAGATAAGCCTACTAAACCATATCTTCTTCCACCCCCC